TTGAAGGTTTGAAGGTAAAAAAGATGATTTTCGTTCTCAAAGTTACCTGACCTCATTTGAAAAACCGTTTTTCGAACTTATGGTCTAGAAAAACGGGTATTAGTCACGCTGTAGTGAAGAATGTTTTATGATTATATGGGACAGCATCCACAGTTGAAGCAAGGGGACAGTCAAACATATGAGGGTTATTTCGAAAAAAGTTTTTTGGTCTTATGCTTTTTCAATTGTTCAATTAAGGGAGAATTAAAAAAGTGGAGGTAAATATAGTGTCAGACAAGATTACTGCATCTCTAAACTTATTCAAAATTGTACAAATTTTTGAAAATCCTGATGCGAATGAGACTCACAATTCAAAACATGTTTTTATCTGGAATGATACAGCATTTTTGAGGGAAATCGGTGTTTATTGGGTGCTTTTGTGTTACTTTGGGCTTTAGAAATGTCTTTCAATAAAGCTTTATACTGTGTGTCCAAAAAAACTACTTGCTAGAATTGCTCTAATTCCTTCTCCCGCTTCTAATCATTCACCTTGACCTTTTTTTTGTCCTTTCCAAATTTGCAGAAAATTTACGTGGCAGCGTACGAGACGATTTAGATGATACCGTTCTCACTCACTATCGTGGAGATATGTTACATCTTTCTTGTATAGTAAAAGCGTGTACTTTTCTGTATAAAGTGATTTTTGTAAAGTAACAGAACTGTATTCCTTACACTGTTTTCGATTGGCTCTCTAACAACGGGTTGTGAAGATCTAACTGCTCAAAAAATTAGGAATTGGAGGCATCTATCTCTTCTTGTATAGCTCTCCGGGACCTTATCGACGATTTTTAAGTAATATTTAGTATAGAGCTGAGGTGTCAAAGAGTCTGTTGTTGCTCAAAAACCTTCTTTTAGTGTCACAGTTTTCTTCATTGCAAGTAGTTTACTCTTTTTTCAGAAAAACAGTAAACTTTTTGAAATTATAAAATTTTCACTTACAACGCCAAATTTTGCTTCTGGATGAACATAGTACTGTATGTCCAATTGTTGAATAAGTAACCGAATGTCGATTGTCAAGTGATTCTATAACGAATTCGCGATCAAGTGATTAAATTTTCTTTATGGCTTTGGTTACCTGATCGGGGGCATAAGAGCAATACTCCAAAAGTTTGGTCTTCTAAATGGCTGACCACAAGTTTAAACAAGCGCGGTGTAGTGGAAAAAATGTTTGTTAGCCCAAGAAAACTGGAATTTTGAAGTTTAATTTCAACTTATACGTATTTAATGTGTAACTGTTAAACATGATAATTTTTTCCGACTCACAAATTTAAACTTATTAATTAATGCGATATATTTTTTGTGGTTTTGATGGACAGTTGGTGTATACAGCAGTTTTCTTTGATGCTACCAAAAAAAAGCACGCTTCTTAGACGATAAAAAACGGAGAAGCCATAATTCTGGCAACTAGGAGGTAGCAAAATAGCCCTAGATACAGTGTTGTCACCCCCGGATAACGCAGCTAATTGAGACGAACACCTTACTACATTTGCTTTTGAACCGATGACTATTGCATTTAGCAATTCACGGGGCAGAGGAAGAACATTAGGAGACTGAAAAAAAAAAGTAGTGTAAGTATGCATTTGAAATCGAATGCAAAGGCTGACCTGCGGACTTTCTTAAATGTATGCTTACAATATGCACATTTTGCACATCCTACCCATTATATGTCCCACTGAATACGGGAGGGATATATTTTAGCAATTTGGGTATTAAGGAATGGGCTGAACAAGCTAGCTGACTGGCGTCTAAGCTATGAAGACGGCCTCAAGGTTAAGTAGCCTTGTTTCGTAGAAATCTGCCGCACGCATTCTAAACCGTTGTTTTTACTATAGAATACTGTATTTTTCTAAGTCTAATTGTCATTGTTGCTAAGTGTAGACGAGAAGACTTTTTTCGTAGATTTTCGCCTCAAAATACAATTCTCAATGAAAAGACTGTTGTAAATCTGCAGAAAATGGCTAGGTCACGGTATCAAACCATTTTTACCCTCAAAGAAAACAAGCAAGAGCTGTCGCGGCAAAAGTCGCTATCAAATCATTTCGTCTTTCTACAACTTACTTCATTTAAAATTTTTGGATGGTGAGTTTAAAGAACAGTTGTAGAATAGTTTGGTAAACTTTAGGCTCACTAGCACTAGATAATTGCCGATGATAATTATACAACTGTGCAGATACCGATGCAGTAGCATATAAAGATATGTTATGTTCAGTGGGAAGACAGCTTCAAGTGTTGAGTGCCTTTTTTTGATCAGAGATTGGTGAATGACATAAGAAATGTCTCGGGCAGTGATGCATCTTCTTTGATCGTTTCTTCTTGATTTTTAGTACGCATCAGCAACTAATTTTCATCCAAGAGAAAAAATGAGAAAAAATGGAAGAAAATAATTTAAAGTCCTCCACCTCTTGACATTTTTTATCGCTTTTTTTCATTAACGTTAAACAAAAGTTTTAGCGTGACGGGATGTGAGATTGGATACAGCATTTATATTATTTCTTCCTTATGCTCTTCTGCCATGCACTTCAAACGTTGTTGTTAAAGTTGGTCTTGTATATATCAATTTCTTTAACAATGCTTGAAAGAGTTTTTCATTTTAATATGACCTTTATGATTTAAAAATTGCTTCTTTTTGCAGCTTCTGAGCTAGAGCTGATGCAATTAAACTTGATCGGATTTTTTTTAAACGTTATCAGCAACCGAACAGCGTCTGAAACAAACAAGTTTCATCGTTAAAGACAGTTTTTTTAGTCGTTATTAGCATATTTGGAGAAATCCAACTTAATGGTGCTGATGAATTACCAGCTTAAGAAGGCAAATGAAAGTTTTGATAGCGAGGGTGCTTTTTAACAGTCGTCAACCTAACCTCGAATAATTTCTGTAAATTCTTGCACTAAATGTTTCTGTTTATTAACATTCGTGGTTTTTCTGTTGCTGATTGACCATTGGCCACTGTCGCCTGCTCACTTTTATCATATTCTTTATTTTAACAGGAATTATCATCTTTATTCAAGAGTTTTCTTCTTCATTTATTTATTTTCATTCAGCAGTATTGATTGTATCAAATTGTAGATGTTGTTTTTTTTCAGAGCCTTCCAACATTGAAATGAACGAACTTACAAATACTTACTGCTCAAAATTTAAGACCTACCATCTTAAAGAATCTAAATTAATTTCACAAACTCAGTATGTGTCTTGAGTACTCTCTTTTTCGACGTCTCTAAATCTAAGTCTCTTAGGCTGAGGATAATAATGCTTTAAAAATTTCAAATTTCCTCCGACTTGAACGTCCTTGACCTGGAACCATAGCTCCCCTATTCTCGGTCGAGGAACGTTTGAAATTGTCAGATATTCTCAGTTATGAGTTAATGATACCATCAACTTTATCTGTTCTTAATCTGGTACTTACATCTTTTTTTCTTTAGGCGACTGTATTAGTTTGCAAATTTTCTGGTTATTTCGCCTTTTTTTTTTTTTTTCTGATAGTCATATGAGTCAGCGGAGTAGAAAATCCCTTTTGCAAAGTGATGAATTACGCTTTAAAAGCCTAAGTGTGTCATTAACTTTAGTCATAACCTTTTAACGAACAACTGTTGTTCCACCGATAATGATATTAAGTTGCATTTTGCTGTAACGGTCGGGTGGTATTCAGAAACTTTAGATATATATGCGTTTAAAATGATTTCTGGCGATCTTTGCTTTGCAACTGCACAGTGCCGACGTGTGACGTCATACACGTGACGTCACTAGGACAAAAGTGCGAAGTTTTGGGACGCCAGTCCGATTTCAAACAAAATATCTTTCTTCCCTCTCTAAACGGCATTCCCACGTGCAGGCGTTGCAACTGTTGAATCTTCATTTGCGTAACCATTGTTGAATATCCTTTTCGGCAAACACCTTTACCGGTGACTTTTGGTTTCAGGACTAACGGAATTCATCGCTTTGTTCGCCAGCTGACTCAGCTGGCCAGCAACAGTAACTATTCATTGGCATATGGTGATATAAAACGGTAGGTTCGTGATCATTTTTTGGCTCTCAAAGTTACCACTGGTTTGAAGTAAAGCTGTAACATTTTTGCATGTAAAAGTTGCATAATTATGAGCCGCTTCAAAAGTTTGTTTTTCTTTGTTCTTAAATTGTAGATTAAAATTTGAAGTAGTGGATGGAGAGCACTAGAATCTTTTATGCTTTTCTCAGTTTTTTGTTTTTAGGTGTAAAATATCAACAAGCAGTTCCTTGCGTACTAAAATTATGGACAAAGATGATGAATACCTTACCGATGTCACTTTTGACGAGTACATCCCTAAATCAGAATTTGTTCATCTTTCTAGATTGTCGTTTTGCAGGGTTTGTTGTTTTTCTTCGATCAAAATCTTTATGCGCGAAAGTTTGACATCAATTAAATATTCACATATAAATTTGTTTCAGGATAACAAGTTGGTGAAATGGGACCTTTCACTGCGGCCAAATAGTGTTGCGTGCGTCTTATATCATAGAGGGAAGAATGCTCTGTTATTTGTCAAGCAGTTCCGTCCAGGTACTTGAATCTCCTAATTCTTGAGCAAATTTTTGTTAAGGAACGCCTGAGTTAGTATATTTTTTGTGCTGTTAGATAATTGCTATCAGTGCAAAGGTTTTAAAACATTTATTCCGTTTTTATTTCATTGTGAAATCTTTTTTGCTTGTCTTATTTATATTATCTGTTTACTGAATTTGTTGTGTCCTTAAATCCATCCTTTTGAGTTCTTTTTCCTTAGTTGAGCATTTAATTAATTTACCACGTATGTTTTTTGGGTCAAAATAATCACCCCTTCTTAATGTATTACGAAAAAATAATTATTTTTTTTACAGCTATTTTTGTTGCGAAAGTTCGAAGCCTTCCGGAAAACATTGGAAGAGCAGGTGCCGAAATAGACTGGTCCAAATATTCGATAAAAACTGCCTTTACAATAGAGTTATGTGCTGGTCTTATCGACAAACCTAATTTGAGCGACGTAGGACATATGCGTGAAGAGATTGAGGAAGAATGCGGGTACAGAGTAGAAGAAAATAACATAAAATTATTAAAGAAATATGTGTAAGTTGTCCTTTTAATAAGAAACTAGAAGTGCTGTTAACTTGTTCGACGCTATAATCGTTTGAAATGGCGCTGTGGCAGAAAAGAGTCATTTTTGAGAATCAATCAGGTTACAAACAACTAGCAATAATTGAGCTAACAGAATCTCTGAGAAATGGGAGGTTGTTTGTTTGTAATTGTCAACAGTACGAGAGTGTCGTCATCGTGCTATGTAGCGTTGCTGTCCTGATATCAGGCTGTAACCTTAGAGACTTTAATTCCGCCCAACAAAATCAACAAA